AGCCTGAACTGAGCCTGAAGAGAGAAACTTGCTTCTGCTGCCACAGCAAAGAATAATCACCATAAATAAACCTTACTTATGTCCAGAGAGAGTCTGAGTGCTTTAATATCCAAAAATTAGGCACAGGAGAAACAAGGAAATAAATGAATATATAATCCCAGTCAATAGTTAACCAAGGACTGTCAAAATGCCTCTATTAAGAAACGTATGGCCTGTGTGGTTCCTGTTCTGGGATTTACTAACTACTACAATTGTGTCACGATCAGTTTCGCAGCAGCCGTGGTTGTAAATGGTAATTTTTAATACAAGGAAGTGAGTGGTTAAAGAGCTGGCAGGCCAAGGGTGTGTGGAGCATCTCAGGATGATCAGGAGCAGGCTCTAGAACCCAAAGTCAGCACCATATTGGACTCATAGTCCTGTATTAGATTCTTATTGTTTCTGAAACAGATTACCACAAATTTTGTTACTTAAGACAAATTTGTCATCTCTCAGTTCTGGAGGTCAGAAGTCTCACTGGGCTAAAATCAAGGTGTCAAAAGAGCTGTGTTCCTTCTAGAGGTGGCACCAGTAAACCAAGTTCTTACCCTATTTTTTATGGGTCACAAAGAAAAAACATGCAATTGGACAAAAGCAATCGGGTCATATTCACTGGCCAGGGAATGGAGAAGGGGAGCTTCGCTCTAAAGGCACCTTCTCCTTAAGCAATAGGCAGCAGGGGAATTTTCAAGAGTTAGATATGGGGCAGAGAGGTATGTAAGCAGGCCGAGGGTGGAGTTTCAAACATGCAGGTGCAACCCCCAGGTATACTTCCTCCTACATCGCATGTACACAAAATGTCAACAATTTTCTTTTAAGGGAAAGGAATCTAGTATTATAATGATACGTTAATGATCTAAAAGTAACTAGGGGTTGTCGGTTCTGGTTTGCACCTGTCTCATGCGACAGGGACAGGCTGCATGGGACAGGGACAGGCTTCATGGGACAGGGACAGGCTGCATGCGACAGGGACAGGCTGCATGCGACAGGGACAGGCTGCATGGGACAGGGACAGGCTGCATGCGACAGGGACAGGCTGCATGGGACAGGGACAGGCTGCATGAGACAGGTGCAAACCAGAACCGGCAACCCCTAGTTACCTTTAGATCATTAACGTATCATTATAATACTAGATTCTTTTCCCTTAAAAGAAAATTGTTTTCTTCCTCTGGTGTTTGGCAAGGGATCATGAAGTTCCTGCCGCATCCTGGAAAATCTGGAGCTCTATAAGCAGTGGCACCTGTAGATAAAAAGACTAAGGGGAAAAAAGCTGTTTAAGAAAATAAGGAGCCTTCCCAGCTATTTTTCTAGGGCTGCCCTAGTAACAGAGCTTCTAGAGAAGAACCCATTCCCTTGCCTTTTTCAGATTCTGGAGGCTACCCACATTGCATGGTTCATGGCCCCTGTCTACCTTCAAAGCCAGCAATTGCATCATTCCGACTTCTGCCTTCAACATCACATTTGCTTTTCTGACTCTAATTCTCTTGCCTTTCTCTGCTACTAACAAGGACCTCTGTGAAGACATTGTACCCACCCAGATGATACAAGCTAATCTTCCTCTCTTAAAGTCAGTTCATTAGCCACTTTAATTCCATGTGCATCTTTAATTCTTCCTGGCCATATAACCCACATAACATGTTCACAAGTTCCAGGGATTAGGCATGAGCATTTGGCAGGATGCCGGCACTGGCATTATTCTGCCTAATGCTCCACACCCCATGCAAGGCTCTCCACCAAGTAGATAGAAACTGTCTTTCTGGCCTTATCTTCCACCATATGCCATGTATTGGATAGCTATTGCTGCATAACAAGTTACTCTAAAACTTAGTGACCTAAAACAACACTTATTGTCACATAGTTTCTGTGGGTCAAGAATCCAGGGAGGGTTTACACGGGTCCTCTGGCTTAGGAGGGTCTTTTCCAGGGCTGCAATCAAGATGTCAGCTGGGGCTGCCTTCATCTCAAAGCTCACTGGGGAAGGATTCTTTCCTCTGTGGATATTGGCTGGAGGCTACTCTTAGGGGGCCACACATGCGCTTCTCCATAAGGCAGCTCACACTTTGCAGTTGCCTTCATCAGAGCAGGAAGAGCAAGAGAGAGAAGGCAAGCAAGAGGGAAATTGGTCTTCTGCAACCACATCCCATCACCTTTGCTGCAATATATTCATTATATTAGAATGTGGCCCCAGGCAGCCCACGCTCTAGGGGGAAGGATTACACAAGGCATGAATACCAGGAGGTGAAAACATGGAGCCATGTTAGAAATTGTCCAGCACACCCCAATATGTACCCTATGCTCTCATCTCACAAAACTCACCAAGTTTCCCAAGGGGGAAAAAACTGCTTTATTATCCATGTCTTAAACGTTTGCTCATTAATTCACTCATTCAAAAAATATTTTATTTCTACTGTGAGCTAGGTAGTGTTGTAAGAGCTAAGGATAGAGCAGTGAGCCAAAGAGACAAAGCCCCTCCCTCATGGAGCAGACATTTCAGTAGGGAGATAAATGGTAGACAGACACACACATAGTGCGACAGAGGGCTATGAGTTATAGCAGGCCAGGGGCATGATAAGTGTCAGTGGAGGTGAGGATGGAGGCTTTTATGTAGGATGGCCTGGGAAGGCCTCTCTAAAAGCTTACCTCTGAGCAGAGACATGAAGGATGTAAGGAAGCCACCATGAGTCTATTTAAAAGAAGAGGGTCCTGGGCTGAGGGGACATCATGTGCAAAGGTAGCTGAAGTGTTCAAGGGGCATAAGAAGTTCTGTGTGATGGGAGCAGTGTGAGCAAAGGAGATAACGCTTGGAGCTGAGGTCAGAAAGGAACCAGAAGCCAGATCTTCTAAGGCCTTATAGGTCATGAAAAGGGCTTTGTCTTGCTCCATCACCTGGGCTAGAGTACAGTGGCGCGATCTCGGCTCACTGCAACCTCTGTCTCCAGGGTTCAAGCGATTCCCCTGCCTCAACCTCCCAAGTAGCTGGGACTAAAGGCACGCACAACCACGCCCAGCTAATTTTGGTTTTGGTTTTGGTTTTAGCAGAGACCGGGTTTCAGTATATGGGCCAGGCTGGTCTTGAACTCCTGATCTCGTGATCCACCCGCCTTGGCCTCCCAAAGTGCTGGGATTACAGGTGTGAGCCACTGAGCCTGCCCAGCTTTGACTTTTATGCTAAGATGGGAGCCACTGGAGAATTTCCCCTTAAAATAAACTACTTTACATGCAGAGACAAAAAAAAAAAAAGCTCTTTTCTAATTTCAAGATACCATTTTCAGTTCTTGCTTATAAAGAGGTATAATTTGTTTTCTAATATAGCTACACACCTGAAATACGTATACTTAACTGATGGCACATTTTCGAATTACTTACTTTAAAAGATAATATCTGAAAGCTTTGGGTGTTTGAGACTGCTTTTATTCCCAGATAAGGAAAGAGAAATCAAACAAAACCATTTCTGGGAAACCGAGGTCCATTTCTTGCCTAAAGTCAAACAACTTCAAATAGTCTAGGCTAGAATCCAGATCCAGGTGGACATAATTAATTTCCTAAAGTCAGATGTCACCTGGCAGATCCCCGCCTGAGAGCCTAAAAGGGTATATTGTAAAGCAGGTGCCTAGGATCATAAAATGAGCCGATGCAACGAATGACTTAATCCGAGGGAGTGGTTACTAACAAGCAGCCCAAAGACTGTGTAATTGGGTACAATAAGGGCTAGAAGTCTTGTTGATACAGGCACGTTAGCCAGACTTCCTGATATCTGACCCAGGACTTTGGTAAAGGACATTTTCTTAACATTGCCTTCACTGCATACCCAGCACCACGTTTCTTCTCACATGACTGTGTAACCTAGAAGTCACCTTCAAACACTTTGGAGGGTCTATAGTAGGTAAACTTAGATAAGCAAATGAAAATTTGCTTACTTGTATCAGGAAAGGAGTGATCAGCACAGGGGTAGTTAGGAGTGGCTGGGTTGGGGGAGATTATTTAACAAAGGGAAGCACATATAAGAGAAGGTAAAGAAATATGCCACTTGCAAATCACGGTACCTGTGGATGAGAGACGTGGACACAAGAGTGAGATGACCTGGTTTGCCGTCTACCTCCTGAGCCTTCTCTGGGCTGTGGCTGGGACGAGTACCCAGACCCGGAGTTCATGCTGTGAGTATGATGTTTTTTCCAAGGAGGTCAGTGAAGCAGTTGTACTGGGGAGGGGCTGTGACCTCTGACCCTGAACTCTGCTGATGAGAAAGCGGTTGAAAATAGCAGAGACATGGGGCCAGGTGCAGTGGCTCACACCTATAATCCCAACACTTTGGGAGACTCAGGTGGGAGGACTGCTTGAGCCCAAGAGTTCAAGACCAGCCTGGGCAACATGGCGAGACTCCATCTCTACAAAACAAAGAAAAAAATATTTTAATTAGCCGGGCATGGACTGGTCGCAGTGGCTCACGCCTGCAATCCCAGCACTTTGGGAGGCTGAGGCGGGTGGATCATGAGATCAAGAGTTTGAGACCAGCCTGGCCAACACGGTGAAATCCTGTCTCTACTAAGAATACAAAAATTAGCCAGGCGTGGTGCCATGTGCCTGTAATCCCAGCTAGTCGGGAGGCTGAGGCAGAAGAATTGCTTGAACTGCAGTAAGCCAAGATCACATCACTGCACTCCAGCCTGGGTGACAGGGCAAGACTCTGTCTCAAAAAAAAAAAAAAAAAAAAAAGTTTAGCTGGGCACAGTGGCATGCACCTGTGGTCCCAGCTACTCAAAAAGCTGAGGTAGGAGAATCACTTGAGCCCAGGAGGTCGAGGCTGCAGTGAGCTATGATCCCACCACTGCACTCCAGCCTAGATGACACAGCAAAACCCTATCTCAAAATATAAATAAATAAATAGAGATGGAAGTACTACTGCAGGAATGATGGTTGATTGTACAAAGACAGACACTCAGTGGCTACTGTGACCCGACACCACTACATACTAGTCAGAGATTTGGGTACTCACTGAAGATAAATTATATCCCAAATCTTTACTATTCTTCATGAAAAAGTGAGGGAAAAAAATGAATGCAAGGAAATCAGTGATTCCTAGGAAAGTGATAGAAATTATGAGAAATGTCATGAGTCATATTGCTTTAAGTTACTAAATTTAAAATTTCCTTTCTTAAGGATACGGGTTATTTGGGAAGAAGTAAAGAAACCAATTGTCCTCAAAAGTAAAATCTCACCATTTTCTCCATTTCTCTTTAGACACTTAGGATACCAGTGCTAACCAAGTATTCTCCTAAAAGGTATCAAAGACACAGGAATCGTGTTTTTGAGAAGGGATGAGGATTAGGAGGTTACTAAATGACTGTCCTCTTCACAGACGTTCCCTCAGCACAGGAGCCGTTGGTCAATGGCATACAAGTCCTCATGGAGAGCTCGGTGACTTCATCAGCCTACCCAAACCCCAGCATCCTGATTGCCATGAATCTAGTCGGAGCCTACAGCTTGGAGGCCCAGAAGCTCCTGACTTACCAGCTCATGTCCAGCAATGCTGACGGTGAGACATCCAGCCGCTCACACTCTCCCTGAATCTCGCACGTCACTCACCACCTCCAGATCCCAACTCAGTGTCCTTCCCGCCCCCGCCCCCAATGCTGCCTCTGATTGTACATAAACTACCCAAACACCTTTTCCTACGTACCTGGAAAGAAACACATGTGAAGTTAGAGCATTCATGAATGAGGGCAGTCAAGCAGAGCAAGCTCTGGACTAGACCCCAAAAGAGCAGCCTTGCCAAGGCAGGCGGATCACAAGGTCAAGAGATTGAGACCATCCTGGCCAACATGGTGAAACTCCGTCTCTACTAAAAATACAAAAATTAGCTGGGCATGGTGGTGTGTGCCTGTAGTCCCAGCTACTCGGGAGGCTGAGGCAGGAGAATCACTTGAACCTGGGAGGCAAAAGTTGCAGTGAGCCAAGATCACACCTGGTGACAGAGGGAGACTCCTTCTTTAAAAAAAAAAAAAAAAAAAAAAAAAGCAGCCTTCCGGTTCTGGCTCTGCCACTTCCTAACTCTGGGATCTGGAACGAGTCACTGGATACTGCTCAGCCTCATCTTCCAGATGATTCTAATAATAACCCTACTACTACTAATATACTAACAGCAATGATAATAATAATAAAATCTCTGTTCTGCCTATCTCCCAAGAGTTGCCTGGAGGCCCAAGTTAGATAATAAAGTTTTAATTATTTCATAACTGTAAATTTCTGTATATAAATCTATATGAGTGTTCTTGCTGCTTTTCTAATCAAATATCAGGGATTCTCAAATACCGAATACTAGAGTCATCAAGTTACACAGATGCTGCTAGATTAAATATGCCTTTACATGCTTTCCCATATTTTTTTCTTCGGAAAGACAGATCAAAAAACTGCTCATTATTAAAAAGTCAAAATGCTCTGGATAAAAAGCAGAAATCTCACCCCTGGCTCCTGGAGAGCTGTCCCCTGAGAATGTCTCTGTCTAACTGTTCTGTTCTCTTCTCTGCAGATTTGAGCATTGGGCAGCTTGGCCTCACCATCATGGCCCTCACCTCCTCCTGCCGAGACCCTGGGAATAAAGTATCCATCCTACAAAGACAAATGGAGAACTGGACACCTTCCAGTAAGACCTCACTGGAAGGGAGAAGAGAATCAGGCACACGGTTTTTCCTAAGAATTTTAAATCCAGAAAGGAAAAGGGTGGGGGTGGAGAGAAAGGAAAGTCAGGGAAGAGACACAATGTATCCTTCACTCTGGTCCTTCTGATAATCACAAAAGGGAGAGATTCATTTCCAATCCAAAATGAACTAGAAATGGCCATGACCCCAAGGGCACAGCTTACCGAGCCATCACCTGTCTAAAGACACAGAGTCATCTCTTTTATTCTTTACAGATGCTTGATGACATTCTTTTGAAAAACACTGAAGTTGCTCTTTGTCTGTGCTGTGTCTCTTTGGGGGCAGGTTTTCTAGCAATTTCCATTTTAAAGGCTTGGCTTTTCCTTATTTGCCAATGTCCTCATCATGGTGAATGTGAGTCTGATGAAGATTCTCTGTCCCCTTCTGAGGCCCCAACGCTGAAGCATCAACCTTCTATGGGGCCAGTCTAGCGATCTTGGCACTGTGCCAGAAGAACTCTGAAGCGACCCTACCAATAGCTGTCCGCTTTGCCAAGACCCTGCTGGCCAATTCCTCTCCCTTCAATGTAGGTGAGTAGGTCACCACTGCCCTGAACTGGGAACATCAGAGGCATTGTGCACTGAATGGTGGAGCTGGCAGGGAAGTGGGAAAGGAGAGCTTTCCATGGAGGAGGAGCTAAGGACTGTGAACATGCCTGTGGATGAGAGATACTTACCAGATGTCTGTTGGAGTGTGAACTGAGGAGTACATGAAGGAAGGGGAGATAGCAGCATTTAGAAACAAATATAATACTTGATATGTCTGGCAACTACAGAATCTCTGCTGGGAACAATAGTCCTGTCATTCAAGTCAGAAGTTCTTCCCAAAATAAACATTAATGTCTTGCTTCACTTCTCCCCTGCATCCTCTCTTTAATTGCTACGTATGCTCTCAAACTCCATTCTTCTCGATACTTCTCCTCATTACATCCAAATAACCTCTCTCTATGAAACAGCCACTCTCGGAACCCTAACTCATAATGTTTCCCTTTATGGAAACCCGGAGACCACCCTGCAGCTTTGTTCTGCAAGCACATGGCTGTTTGTAAATGGGAGCCTTTTCCTCTACAACATCATGTCCTCCTTCCGTCCCCTTCTACGGATAATGATCCTTCTCTGTGGGGGCCACTGTCACAGCCCGCATTCATGGTCACCTTTTCTCCTCTACCAACTCTCCAAGCAGTAAGTAGTATTATCTCAAATTTTCACTCCCTTACGCATGCCCCATCAGCAACCTCTCTTGTTTCAGTTTCTGTCAGACAAATAGATGAATCATTGTTCTAGGATCCTCCCTGAGGGTCAAGAACAGGCTGGTCTCCCTTTCACATCTGGGACCTCACACATTTCTGGGGCATCTCTGCCTCCAAGAGTTTGGACTTATTTGCTTCTGGTTCTCAATAACACTATCACCCTTAGGGAAGTTATGCAACTTTCAAATGGAGATTAAGGTGAGGAGGGGGAGATCAATGAAATAAAAGATGATAACTGGCAAGTCTTTTATTTATTCTAGTCTTGTCATCCCAGAACTTGCTCAATGGTTTCACATGTTTATTGCATGCAAACAAGAAAAAGTCCCTTTGTGGCATGCTTTGGTGGATGCGAAGTTCCCTCCATCTAAGAGTTTACATCTAAGAGCACAGTAACAAAAAATAAAAATAAAAGAGAGTCCCAAGATTGTAAAACAGACATATAAACAACAAATGCTACAGGAGTTTAGAAAAGAGACTGCATCTGTCTTTTCTGGCACAAGAGCAGTGCGATTGAACATACTGCCAGTCTACATTAATTATAAGCATGAGATGTTGAGTTGTATAGTTCTGGGTTAAGATCCTGGCCCTGTACTTACTATGTGGCCTTGGGCAGTTACTTAATTTTTCTGAGCCTCCATTTCTTTGTCTCTTAAAGGGAGATAATTACAGGTACTATTTCACAGGTTTTTCTGAGGAGCAAATAAAATCATAGAACCAGAACACAATAAGCACACAATAAATGTTAGCTGTTCATATTGCGGTGGTGACTATGGTGATCTTATCCCCTCTGTCATTCACAGACACAGGAGCAATGGCAACCCTGGCTCTGACATGCATGTACAACAAGATCCCTGTAGGTTCAGAGGAAGGTTACAGAGCCCTGTTTGGTCAGGTGCTAAAGGATATTGTGGAGAATATCAGCATGAGGATCAAAGATAATGGCATCATTGGAGGCATCTACAGTACTGGCCTCGCCATGCAGGTAAACACATGCTGGATGCTCTTGGTTGGGTTCTTGACAATAAGCCTGGATTGCAGACTCAAGAGGCCAGGTGCTTCTAGTAACATCTCCATGAAAGTCCAGCTAGTATTACCTGAGATATATTCTTTGTGGTGCCTGGGCCTAAATTTCTAATTCCTCCCTAACTCCTATGTAAAGTATGAAAGCAAATCTATATAAACACATTTATCTTCCTTGGGAAAAAAAAATGAAACAAATAAATCAAGAAATATGTTGATTTATTATTAACAATGATCCATTTATTTGTAATAGTTACAGACTATCGCAATTTTGATGTACAAATAAAAAGAATATTAAAGTAGGCCCTCAAAAAACATAGAATTTTCTAATGCAATCTTACCAGCCAAGTGTTCTTTTTCAGTACTTTACCTTGATCCAAAAATAGTTAAGTTTATACTCAAAATGATTAAGGACAATAACCTCAAGGTAACTAAACCTCCAAAAAACTCATAGTAAATGGTAAAGCAGATCTACCTGGCAGCCAAGTCCATACTTAATTCTATGCTTTCCTAGCATGTATTCCCAGGCTTGGATTCTGCAAGATGTGCTTGGTATTAATAGTTCTAAATCCAACAACCCACTCTACCCTAGTTGACTAGGGCAGCTTCTTCCGTAAAAGACAGATACACCAATGATAGTGGGCAAAAATGACCAACTAGAATCAAAAACTAGCAACCATCTGTGGCTGAATCCTCTAACCCCAACTAAGAAGTTTGAGCTCCAATGTCTCAAGATGTCCTATGGGAATTAATAGGACCAGGGACTCTTCACCTCAGAAAGCCCAGGAAAGGAAGAATCATGGAATGATGACACCAGCCCCAAACCTAACATAGTCCTGGACTACTAGGAATAAATTGTCTCCTGGGTAAAACAATAGAGACTGGTATTGAGATTTCATACATTAAACATTAGAAAAGGATATAAACAACCTAAGAATTGATTCATGTTAAACATTAAGAGCACAAACAAAATTTCCATGTCAGTGGACCATGTACAGAAGTGACTAATAGAAAACAAAGTTCACTTCTATGTCACAGTCAAGGAGACTTTGTCATAGAACAAAACCCTGTTTTTTCCATGGCTGAATTTTACAAGAGCATTCCCAGTGGTCTAATCTAGAAGCTTTTTAGAAGGAAAAAGGCAGTCTGGAAGAGACTGAAAAGATGGTTTGGGGATTTTTTTAATGTGTGACTCACTAAAAATAACCTTGCTTCAATTTAGCACCATACAGAGAAATGTTTACTTTTGCTAACTTGGTTTGTGAATTCTGTTTGGATTTTATCACCTGCTAAGTACACTCTGATAAGCTGTACCTGGGAATTAAAGCTTTTTTTTTTTTTTTTAATCAAAAGGCAGGACTGTGTCTATATCCAAATACCACAGGCCACGTGGATTTCTAGTCAGAATACATAATCTCTCCCTACCCTTTTTACTCTCTCTATCTGGAGTTTACTTAGGCATCCTGAAATCTGGAATTAATAGGTGTCTAATATATAATCTTTTCCTAATCTAAAATATTCTGATATAGAAAATCAAAGGGCTCTGGAGCTATCGCAATTTAGGTTTGACTCCCAGACCTGCCACCATCTCAGACAAATATTGAATTTCCCCAAATTTTATTTCCCCCCTAATAGCAAGGTTGCAATTAGGTTAAATAAAATGTGGTATGCAACAAAACAAAACAAAAAATCTCATGGATAACGTCATGCTTAACAATTGGTCGCGATCTGTCTCAGCAGAACAGTGATGCTAGCAAACCTCGTTTTCAATCTTTGTTCACCTTCTTCCAAGACATCAGTGCCCTTCCAGTGGCCCAGGCCATACTCAACCCTACCCAAAGATGCTCATGAGGCATTTCCTCTGTTCTAGAATTTCTCCTCTCTCTTCCATGAATATCCTATGGCTTTCAAGATTCCTCTGATAGGCGCTTATCTTGAAAAGGAATCTGATAGGCCGGGCGTGGTGGCTCACACCTGTAATCCCAGCACTTTGGGAGGGCAAGGCAGGCAGATCACTTGAGGTCAGGAGTTTAAGACAAGCCTTGCCAACATGGTGAAACCCCATCTCTACTAAAAATGCAAAAATTAGCCAGGCATGGTGGCATGCACCTATAATCCCAGCTGCTCAGGAGGTTGAGGCAGGAGAATCAGTTGAACCAGGGAGACGGAGGTTTCCGTGAGCCAAGATCACGCCATTGCACTCCAGCCTGTGAGTTGCAGCGAGACTCTGTCTCAGAACAAAAAAAAAAAGGAAAAGAAAAGAGATCTGATGAACTTCTTGATGGAAAGTTATTAATGATGTTCTTGCTTAGTGAAATTTGGGAGATGCATATGACAAGTGAACAAGATGCTGTTGCAGAGGAGCACCCACCACCTGATGGCCATTAGACCAAACTGCCTTGTAAAGTGGCCTCTGTCCAAAGCCATGGTTCATGGATGTTGAGGTTAACAGTGATGGTCGTGCCTGTCACAAATGCCCAATTGTGCATTCTGACCCCAGCTGAGACAGCCATTTCTGACTCCTCTCTCCCTTCTCCCATGACCTATTCCAAGCTTCAGGTGAACCAGTCCTCAACAATCTCAGCCCATTAACATGCCCTGGTGGCCATAATCAGCACTGTATAGGAAGGGAGGTGGTAATGACAAATTCCACATCACACATCATGAAATGCTTTTATACATTAGCCCCTTAACCTCAAATGACTCCTGCAAGAATAGGCAGAAATTATGATTTCCATTTTATTCATGCAATATGTAACTCAACAAAATAGGTGACTAGCTTGATGTGTTAATCAAGACCCATTTTGCAAGTAACAGAAACCCAAATCCTTTTAGCTCAAGAAAAAAAATGAGGACTTACTACTCACATACACTGGGAAGTCTAGGGCTGAATTAGGTGGTTTCAGGAATAACCAGAATAAAGGGCTCAAAGAATGATATCAGTGGCCATTCTTTTTTCATTGTCCAGCCCTGGTTTTCCTCATTCTTCCCTGCTACAGGGCTTCTTCTTCAAAGTGGCTGAGAAAGATGCTCACTAGCAGCTTAATGTGTGCTTGCTTGGTCTTAGTTGAATAACCTCAGCGGGTAAAAAAATTCTTTTGGTCTCCCAATGTCTGTATGTCAGGGAACAACTCTAATTAGTACAAGTGTCCACCAATCACTGTCATCAAGGGGATGGGCACCACCATCAGCCCAGCCCAGGTCATGAGTCCATCCTGAGCCAGGGTTGTGGAGCCTCTGACAGTCTTGACACAAGCACAAAGTGAGGGAAAAGTCCACCAAAGAGGGTGCATGACAGCATAAAACAAGGAGTCTACTCCATTTATGTGGCTAGATTGTCCTGGGCTAAGGCTCCCTCTAGAGCCCAGCTTGTCCTAGACTAAAGCTCCCTCTGGAGCCCAGTTCTCACCCTCACTCACATTCAAGAATCATTGGTAAATATGACTGCTTAATAGTGTTCCCTGCATCTAATCATTGCACAGATATTTGTTCTGTGTCTGCTGTATGACAGAGACTGTGCTAAGTGGTGGGGACATAGCACTGTGTTCCAAACCTTACATAGCATTGGCTTTGCATTCTGGGTGACTAGGTGATCACAATGATTAGTGATCAAGTTTATCTCTTAAGACATGTAAAAGCCAACTCTCAGCTATGCCTAATTCCTCCCTCTCTCTCTCTCTCTCTTCCTGTCCCAGGCCCTCTCTGTAACACCTGAGCCACCTACAAAGGAATGGAACTGCAAGAAGACTATGGATGTGATACTCGATGAGATTAAACAGGGGAAATTCCACAACCCCATGTCCATTGCTCAAATCCTCCCTTCCCTGAAAGGCAAGACATACCTAGATGTGCCCCAGGTCACTTGTAGCCCCGGTAAGACATCCACCTCTCCTTATGTTATAAAGCAGCAACTTATGCCAGGAATGACATACAGATCAATGTTAAGTGGCATGTAGACTTGTAATGTCCATTATTCCCATGTGAGCAGAGCACATCTGACTCCCAGTCCTAAAGAGTATGTGCCAGGACACAGATATACCTTCCTGCACTCAGAACTCAGCCCCATATCTACTTCATTCAACATATATTTATGCAGTACCTACTATGTGCAAAGCATCTTGTGGGATACTAGAGGTAGGAGAAGGTCTGTGGTCCCAACAATCAAATAACATATAGCTTCATTTATTCATTTGACAAAGGTACCATCAAACACTATGCATATCTTATCATATCTGCCTTTCACAAAGTCAGAAGACAGATGTGTAAACAAATACTACAACATTTGGGACAATCAAGTAAGTATTAAATAGAAGTTAAAGCTGCACAAGGTGCAAATGCAAAAAAGAAAAATAGTGACCAGTTGTTGATTTTGTGTAGGAGGCTTCAGAGAAGAACTGAATTCATATTTAAGTTGAGACTTAAAGATCTAAATATGAAAGCTTGATGCACATGACACATGGATGAGATGGAGTGGAAAACTAGCATGCCACTTTTTAATTAAAACTACCTTTATTTTATCCAATTATGCATAAAATTGAAAGATACTTAAAATTCAAATATTACAGAAATACGCATTTAGAAAGTGGAGGTCTTACATAAAAACTTATCACTCTAGAGATTACTAGTGTTTGGTATCAATTCCTCGACCTCCCCTTTCTTTTAATGCTAACATAAAATATCATTTCTCTTGCATTGCATGAACTTCCTAAGACAAGAAGAGATTAATAAGTTTCTTGTCTATCTCAATGCAGAATGTGGAGACCAAAATCAAGCAAACTGATCCCAATCCTACCAAACATGACCACATTCACTTAGCCCCTTAGGCTGCTTCCCAGTGATGTCCCAACCTTAACAAAGTGACCATGGAGTTTTTGCCAGAATTCTACACTGGTTGTCCATTTACTTGGTTAAATGGTATGAAACTCACTGCTTTCTTGAAATGTTTTCTGGGATAAGTTGCCAATAACAGAGATTTTGCACCTATAATATAAACCCCATAATCTTTGACAAATGTGGCCTCTTTGCACTTCACAGATCATGAGGTGCAACCAACTCTACCCAGCCCTCCTGGCCCTGTCCCCACCTCCACATCTAACATCACTGTCAAATACACCATAAACAACCAGCTGAGGGGCGTTGAGCTGCTCTTCAATGAGACCATCAACGTTAGTGTGAAAAGTGGTTCAGTGTTACTGACTGTCCTAGAAGAAGCACAGCGCAAAAATCCTATGTTCAAGTGAGTGTTACAAGTGTCATTCATCATTCTCTCCAGGTCTAATCTGAACTCTCATTTTTTTTCTCATCCTCTGTTTTCTTAATTTTTTTCCTTTTGATAACAGATTTTTATTTAATAGCCCCTTGAACCAGTTACAATCTAATAAATAGGTAAGGCTCTCATGAAAACTTAAATCATACAAGTCAACACACGATGACGTTTTAAAAACAAAAAATCAGAGGAGATTTGAAAGTCTATTGCAGAGTAGAACAGTAAGAACAGACTTTGTACCTTTGAACCACAAATAATAGGTACTATTTAGGAAGATGTGGGAAGAGGTAAGTACAGGAAAAGAAATGGCTAGAACAAATATTTGCGTTAAGACTGAGCAAGGAATCTGAGGCCAGTGAGTAAGCCAGGTGGACACACCAGGTTGAGTGACAGTGTAAAAGTCTTGAAATATCAGGCTAAGGAGACTGGACTTTGTTTTGCAAGTTTTTGAGTAACAAAATTCACGTTGTAAAATGTCGTTTGGGTCACGATAATAGGAGACAAGGCTAAACTGTAGTACATGACTGAAATAATGGAGCTGTGAAGTGATGATGACTTCCTCTGGGATACACGGACCCACACTAAGGCTCTATGAGTGACAGGACATAGAGATCAAAAGAAAGAAGCTTCAAAACTATGGATAAAAGTGTCAATAAGAATATATTTCAAAGGAAGGGATTAAATTCCTTAGATATGTTTAATGGTGGGCATTTGAAATAGGAACATTAGAAGGTTTTTGGAGGTATAGGTCAGGCAAAGTGGCTCACGCCTGTAATTACAGCACTTTGGGAGGCCGAGGCAGGCAAATCACTTGAAGTTAGGAGTTCAAGGGCAGCTTGGCCAATATGGCAAAACCCCATCTCTACTGAAAATACAAAAATTAGCCAGGCATGGTGGAGTGTGCCTGTGGTCCCAGTGACCCCGGAGGCTAAGACAGGAGAATTGCTTGAGCCTGGAAGGCGGAGGTTGCAGTGAGCTGAGATTGTGCCACTGCACTCCAGCCTGGGCGACAGAGCGAGACTCTATCTCCAAAAAAGAAAGAAAGAAGGAAGGAAGGAGGGAAGGAAAGAAAAAAAGGCTTTTGGAGGTATAGAAGAAGTATTAGGAAAAGAGGTCAGGACAGGCAAAAAAAAAAATTGGACAGTCATCTCTTAGAGGTGATGACCAAAGGCAAGAACCCATGTGGTAGGTAGCAGATACATGCACCCAACGAAACCATAAGACAGATTTAGTTATTCTCATTTTACAGATAGAACCCTTAGGCCCAAGATGTTAGTAATATTCCTAAGATCACATAACATGTAACTAATAGAGTTGAGAGCTGAACCCAGATTGGACTGAATCTGATACCCTGTCAGGGTAGGGGAAGTTACCAAAATGAATCACAGAGAAGAATATTCAATTTTAGGGAATGTTTATAGTTTGCAAAAAGAGGATGCAGTAAAGAAACATGGAGAAGTCTAAGCTGTAAGAGGAGAAGAAGAAAAGTGCCAAGTCGTGGACAGGAAAAAAGGAGATATTTTCAAAGAAAAGATGATACGGTCCAAATTCTTCAGGGAGATATCAAAAAAGAATACTGACAAAAGCTAAGGAATTGACAACTGAGTGATACCACATGGGGATCTATTCCACTCAGTTCTGTTGAGCACATTTTGTCTGCTGCCTACTGCATGACTCTATAACTTCCCCAACTTCACAGACAGGTCAGGATAAAAATTGCACTTCAAAAATTTCCTTTTTTTTTTTTTTTTTTTGAGAGCACCCAGCCTGGAGTGCAATGGTGTGATCTCAGCTCACTGCAACCTCTGCCTCCTGGGTTCAAGCGATTCTCCTGCCTCAGCCTCTTGAGTAGCTGGGATTACAGGCATGCACCACCACGCCCTGCTAATTTTTTTTATTTTTAGTGGAGATGGGGTTTCAGCATGTTGGCCAGGCTGGTCTCAAACTCCTGACCTCTGATCCACCCACCTCGGCCTCCCAAAGTGCTGGGATTAATGGCATGAGCCACCATGCCTGGCCCAAAAATATTTGATTTTAAAGCCCTCTGAACGTACTGTACTTTACTTCTCTGAGCTTAGCTTTAATGTTACCTGATTTTTCTTTTTCTGATTATAAATGTAATAAATACATGTAGCAGAAATTTTGAGGGAAAAAGCATTAACAAGAAAAATCATCTACAGTCCACCCACAATATCACAACTATAATATTTTTATAACTTTTGTAGGTATTATTTTCTATGCATATTACACATAGGTGTGATCCAGCACATACATGGGACAGATAATTCATGTAAAATTTGTATCTCATATTTTCACTTAACGTTATTGCACAAGTCATTTCCTGTGTTACTGAAAATTATTGACAATATTTCCATGGCTTCCAAATATTTAGTCTTGGATATTCATTCAATCACTCATCTAATTATTTACCCTGTGTTACTGAAAATTATTGACAATATTTTCATGGCTTCCAAATATTTAGTCTTGGATATTCATTCAATCACTTATCTAATTATTTACCCATTTGAGGGAATTTACATTTTTTTAATTTCCTTATTAATAAGTGTTTCCAAAATCTATTCATTTTCATTTCATTTCAATCTAAGTGAAGTAATTTCATATTCATTAGTCATTCACGTTTGCTTTATTTGTTTATTTATTTATTTATTTTGAGATCAGGTCATGAGACCAGCTAATTTTTGTGTTTTTGTTAGAGAGAGGGTTTCACCATATTGCCAAGACCGGTCTCAAGCTCCTGGGCTCAAGCAATCTGTCCTCCTCAGCCTTCCAAAGTGCTGGGATTACAGGCATGATCCACCACACCCGGCCCATTTTCTGTCTTTTTTTTTTTTACATAACTTTTAAGTTTGGGGGACATGTGCAGGTTTGTTACTAGGTAAACTGTATCATGGGAGTTTGTTGTACAGATTATTTCATAACCCAGGTTTAATTCTACTACCTATTACTTATTTCTCCCGATCCTCTCCCTCCTCCCAACCTGTGCCTTCCGACAGGTCCCAGTGTGTGTTGTTCCCCACTACATGTCCATGTGTTCTCATCATTTTGCTCCCACTTATAAGTAAGAACCTGTGGTATTTGGTTTTCTGTTCCTGTGTTAGTTTACTAAGCACAATGGCCTCCATCCATGTTCACTGCAGCAGAATTCACAAGAGCAAAGACATGGAATCAACCTAAATGCCCATCAGTAGTAGACTGGTTAAAAGCATTATCTCTTTTGAACATGATTTTATCTGATAAAATGATCACATAAAATTGCACTCAAAAGAGAATGATCAGTTAAAATGTCTAAAGCATTTATCTGAAGCATTTAAAATGTCTCTATCCTGGCGGCAGGATTGTTTGAGCCCAGGATTTCAAGGTTGCCATGAGCTAGGATCTCACCACTAGCCTGGGTAACAAAGTGACACCTTGTCTCCAAAAAAATTAATAGTTATAACTAACTAATTAATTGAATGCCTCCCTCCCTTCATCTTACCCCATATTCCCTGACCTAAAGTGAGATATTAATCATATATAAATTTTTTTTTAGATTTGAAACCACAATGACATCTTGGGGCCTTGTCGTCTCTTCTATCAACAATGTCGCTGAAAATGTTAATCACAAGACATACTGGCAGTTCCTTAGCGGCGTAACACCTTTGGATGAAGGTGAGGGAAGAAAAGGCATAGGCATTATCTTCCACAGTTTGAAGGCTACATTCCTTAATTATATTTTTCATTTGATTTATTCATTCATTCATTCATTTAATCAATTAATAATTATGAGATCATATGTGTATATACAATAATTCTATAGACAGTGATTGCTTATATATGTATACACATATATATTTTGTATGCATATACATAATGATTAGATAGAGAAAGAGATTAATTCTGTAGGCAGTGGTAATACTTTTTACAGAGAAGGAAAGTAAGTCTTAGAGACATTGAAGGGACTTGTACCAGGCATGCATCTAGACTGTAAAAGTGGACAATTAAACCCAGGTTTCCAAACTTTAGGACAAACTTACTTTCTGCAATAGTTTCACTCACAATTCATGCTTCACCTTCTTTAAAAAAAAAAAATCTCCAAAGAGAAGAATGCCTACATGTGCATATTGCTGCATGTTTCCCCTGAAAAAATTAGGAGAAAGTGGGAAGCATAAAACTCAGACTTCAGCAAAACCTTAACATTTGTTAAAGCTTTTGCACACATATTAAAATATTCTCAAATTTAAAGAGCATTAGTGTATGGCTTTTGTCTAAGCATGATGTTACCTAGTTAACCTGATGGTTAACTGTCACCATGCAGTGACATGTAATGCCAAATAAAGTCACAGTAGAGCCAACGTCATAGGTTGGTAAAGACACTTCATTATCTAATATTACAGTAGGGGGAGATTTTTTTTTAAGTCTATCATGTATTTAACAAAATCTTGCCAGTCAGAATTTGTGGAATCGCAGCAAAGCATATAATAAAGATCTTGGAGTCATAGAGGACTTGGTTAGAAGCGCCTGCCCTTATTTAACAGCTGCATTACATTAGTAGTAAATCTCTGAGCCGCCTTCCACATCTTTAAAATGGAAATGGCATTAATCATTACTTGGGTTATTGTGAGGATTGGAAATAATATACTTAGAATGATTAAGTAGAATGTTTTTTGCATGGCATGTGTTCAAAAATACTATTCATCATTATTATTATTAGTTTGCGTATCACCTTCATCTCAAGAAATATCTGTATCAAAATATCCCATATACCCCATAAATATATATACCTACTGTGTACCCACAAAATTAAAACTGTTTTAAATACCCAGAATTTTTTTTTAAAGAAAGTAATTGGCCCAGGAACTTAAATCAGGCATATTCTCATGTCTACCAATTACTTTTCTTCCCTGGGAGAAAGAATGATAAAGGTCTCTCAGAAAATGAAAAGATTTGGACCTGAAACTGTCATTCTTTCTGTTGCCCAACTACATAAAAGGTAACAGATATTGCCATCATCTATCTTTCCTGTCCTGAAAGCCAGAATTTCTCAACCCACTGCTCTTTCTTATTTCTTAAAAAATCTTCAAAAATGAACATGAGGTTCTCCCTTGAATGCCCTGATTTTGGCCTAAGTGAGCCATTTTAGCAATAACCACAATTTGTTGCACAATTATTCTGTGCCAGGTACTGCATTAGGCACCTAGTGGTCATTATTCCTAATTCTGAAAATAACTCTTCAGAGTAAATATTACTTACAAAATCTTGTATGTGAGAAAAAAAGAGGCTCGTGCATCTTAAGGGGTATACCCAAAGACATACTCCTTGAAATGGTGACCAGAGTGTGGAAACAAGAACTTCCTAAATCTCAATTTAATGTTCTCTCCATAATCAAGCTGCCTATTTATCTCTAGGATGAGGTTACTCCTTTAAAACATGTAATGGGTTCACTTCATCTAGCTCACTGCATCCCTTGGCGGATGGAGGTGGTTACGTGCACCACAGTCACCTCATGTTACTCCCTGCTTATTTCCAGGGGTTGCTGACTACATACCCTTCAACCACGAGCACATCACAGCCAATTTCACACAGTACTAAGGAAGAGGTGGGTTCAGCTTCTACCAAACATCTCCAAAAGATGGGTGAAATTTTTTCCACTTCATTTCAAATCTATGCAAAAAAGTGAATGCCTGTGATGCCACCATATTCCTGGTAAAAACATGGAAAACCACTATGTAAAATAAAAATGCAAAGTTCACTGGAGTGTCAACATCTATGACTCATGAAAATAAAATTTCCAGCTTCTAAACACAATGACTGCCAATCACCATATAAACCTAAGGTGAGGGGAAAAGAGAGAGTAGCTGATATTTTTGGATGTCATTCTGATTTCTTGATTAATTAAATAACACACTCCCTATTTCTATAAATTATATATTTTTTAAATCTCATATTTTCTTATTAAACCAAGTACTCCTTTTCAAGTTGCCTAATGTAAACATGCCCATGTATGTACATACATGTATACATGAAATGGCCAAACATTTCAACATATAAAACTCCCAGATGGTTCAGAACTAGGTAAATGATGTTATGTTTTAACTCTCTCCTTCCATTTCCAACATTCGTTTTGGTTAAATTCATATTTCAAATATATATTTAGATAATTTATATATGTAAAATGTAAATTAATACATTCGATATATTATGCATAATTTAATATATATTTTATATGATTATATATAATTTAATATATTATATATATTATAAATACAGGTAAATCTTGGAAAAAATTTAAGCTTTCAAAGATAAACATAACTCTGATCTCTGCTGGTGGGAGTCAACACTGGTACAAACTTTCTAGAGGATTATATAAAAATTTGTATCAAAAGACCTAAAATGGTCGGGCGTGGTGGCTCATGCCTGTAATCTCAGCACTTTGGGAGGCCAAGGTGGGTGGATCATCTGAGGTCAGGAGTTCAAGACCAGCCTGACCAACATGGTGAAACCCTGTCTCTACTAAAAATACAAAATTAGCCAGGTGTGGTGGTGCATGCCTATAACCCCAGTTACTTCGGAGGCTGAGGCAGGATAATCGCTTGAACCCAGGAGGTGGAGGTTGCAATGAGCTGAGATAGCGCCATTGCACTCCAGCCTGGAAAACAAGAATGAAACTCCATCTCCAAAAAAAAAAAAAAAAAAAAAACAGACCTAAAATATACTCACTTTTGACCGAAAAACTCCCAATTCTGAAATTTATACAAATATATATAAGAGGACACAAATATACAAGAATCAAAAGGTCTGTGGTAACTATTATAGACCAAAGCTTAGGCGTACAGGCACAATACACTTCCTCAAACTGAACCCAGACTCAGATAGACTGAACTACCCGGAAACAAGCCTCCCATCTGGGCATCTCTGAGCAAGTACATGCTCTCTGGTAACAGTCTGGCTCCCAGGAGAAAGGTCCAGGTCCTCATTTCCCAGAAAAAGGCCAGGACTGTCACTGTAATGTAAGGGAATCTCAGGGATGGTGAATAAACTGCTCTCTCATAACATATCGTAATGTTTATAACATGCAAAAAATAGAGCAATCTAGATGTCCAACAATAGGACAATGGACAAACCCTCTGGTGCATCCATATGAGGGGATACTTAAAAGTTACTAAAAGTCATGTTGAAGATAAATTTGGTGACATGAAAGACATTCATGATGAACGTGAATGAAGTGAGTGAATGATGTGAATAAATGAAGTGAATGAAGGCAACTCCAAGTGAATGAAGGCTACTGCACGACCACATTATAATATTATCCATGCTTGAGTGTTTTAGTGGTGATCTCTGTGTGACAAAATTATTGGTGATTGGAGTTTTGTTTGCCTCTCTGTTCTCTAAGTTTTAGCCATTCGACACATAATAATTGCACAACTGGAAAATGGAAAAAACATTATTTTATACAAAGATTATCTTTGCTTTTTTAACAATAAATTGGGCAGCCAAAGAGATTTCTCTGTGTCTGTGTGTGTGTGTGTGTGTGTGTGTGTGTGTGCGCGCGCGCGCGCACACACGCGCGCGCAAGCATACATGTGTGTGTATGGGTGTATGGAAGAGTTCTGTCCCCAGCCTTTGCTCTAATAATAGAAATTGAGGAAACAACGCTAGGGAGGAAACAAAGAGAAGAAAACCACAGATTTGTGTCATATAATGAAAACCTTGTTTTAGCTACCTATCTAGGACTTAACTGGTGTGTGTTCATCTACATTGGCAGAGCTAGTTGTAATTCTGTTTTGAGGAAGTGATTTTTTTTTTTTTTTTTTTGAGACAGAGTCTTGCTCTGTCACCCAGGCTGGAGTGCAATTGTGTGATCTTGGCTCACTGCAACCTCCGTCTTCTGGGTTCCAGCAATTCTCCTGACTCAGCCTCCCAAGTAGCTGAGATTACAGGCACCCGCAACCACACCCAGCTAATTTTTCTATTTTTAGTAGAGATGGGGTTTCACCATGTTGGCCAGGCTGATCTCAAACTCCTGACCTCAGGTGATCCACCTGCCTCAGCCTCCCAAAGTGCTGGGATTACAGGCGTGAGCCACCTCGCCCGGCTGAGGAAGTGCTTTAAAATGTACTTACTTTGGCATACACTATAAAAATGAAGGTAGTTGTCTTAAGTGATTTTTTTTAAAGTAGGAAAATACAGCAAAAGAAAATCATCTGAAGTACCGTGGGGCAGGAAGTTAAGTACCTTGCGGCAGGAAGTCACATTACTTCTGTTTATAAAATATAGCTCCAGCCTGGGAAACATAGGGAGAACCTATCTCTACAAAAAATAAAAATAAAAATAAATTAGCCAGGCATTATGGAACATGCCCATGGCACATGCCAGCTACTTGGGAGGCTAAGTAGAGAGAACTGCCTGATGCTTGAGCCCACGAGGTCTTACTGGGCTTTTCCATTTTCCAGTTGCTCAATTATTATGTGTTGAATGGCTAAATCTTATAAAACAGAGAGGCAAACAAAAAAAAAACCCCAATCACCAATAATTCTGTCACACAGAAATCACCACTAAAATATTCAGAGAGCAGGTACTTTCTCTGAGATGCCCAGATGGGAGGGTTGTGCCTGGACAGATCAGCTGCAGTAAGACATGATCACTCCACTGCACTTCAGCCTGGGCTACAGAGCAAGCTCATGTCTAAAAACATGTATCTTTTTAAATATGTAATATAAATGTCTATATATAAAATATACCATTATACATACCTATAATATATATTTATATATAATATATAATACTAGGCATATATATCTATATTTTTGTATAACAGGTATATAAATATATAAATAATATATAATAGGTATATATACCTGTTATATATAAATCTAAATATAGATTTATATTATATATATTATATACGTATATATAATATAGGTACATATATTATGTAGGTATATATTTATATAATAGGTATATAACCCATTATAAGTAAATCTATATAAATATAAATATGATATAGATATATAATATATATTACATTTATGTATTGTAATATAATATATAAATATATCATGCATATGATATATAAATATATATACCCATTATATATGTATATATTTTTATTTATATATTTATATATAAGTATATATATCATATATATGAGTGCATATATATATAAATACCCATTTTCCAAGACTTATTTCTATCTTTTAATATGTTTCCAATACATTTTCCAGCTTGTTTCCATTTGTCATTATCTCACAGATTAAGGATCTTTCCTTGTTCATTTGGGGACTACTACACAGTTTAAGGATTTTTTTCTAGCACTGCTTCTCTTGTTTCTTTTGCCCATAATTCCCATATTATAGTCATTTAGCACCAGTAAATTAAAAAGAAACTGTCAATTAGGTGACTTTTTAATATATAGTACCTGATTTCTTTTAAAAAGGTGGTAACAATGGAACAGAATATCCCTGAAACAAAGCCACAGCCTAAAATCAACTGATCTTTGCAAAGTCAACAAAATGAACAATGGGAAGGATATCCTACTCAATAAATATTGCTGCCATATGCAGAAGAATAAAATGGGATCCCTACCTCTCACCATATACAAAAATTAATTCAAAATGGATTAAAGACTTAAATGTGGCCTGGCGCCATGGCTCACGCCTGTAATCCCAGCACTCTGGGAGGCCGAGGCGAGCAGATCACCTGAGATCAGAAGTTTCAGAACAGCCTGACCAACATGGAGATACCCCGTCTCTACTAAAAATACAAAATTTGCCGGGAGTGGTGGCGCATGCCTGTAATCCCAGCTACTCAGGAGGCTGAGGCAGAAGAATCACTTGAACCCGGGAGGAAGAGGTTGTGGTGAGCCAAGATTGCACCATTACACTCCAGCCTGGGCAACAAAAGCAAAACTCCATCTCAAAAAAAAAAAGACTTCGGTGTAACACCTCAAACTACAAGAATCCTAGAAGAAACCCTAGGAAATATCCTTCTAGACATTGGCCTAGGCAAAGAATTTACGACTAAGCCCTCAAAAGCAAATGTAACAAAAACAAAAATTGACAACTGAGGCCTAATGAAACTAAAACTCTTTTGTTCAGCAAAATAAATTACCGGCTGGGTACAGTGGTTCATGCCTGTAATCCCAGCACTTTGGGACGGTGAGGAGGGCAGATAATTTAAGGTAAGAAGTTCGAAAGCAGCCTGGCCAACATGAAATGCCATGCCTACTAAAAACACAAAAATTAGCCAGGCATGGTAGTGGGTGCTTGTTATCCCAGCTACCTGGGAGGCTGAGGCAGGAGAATTGCTTGAACCTTGGAGGCAGAGGCTGCTGAGAGCCGAAATCGTGCCCACTGCACTCCAGCCTGCGAAACAAAGGGAGACTCTGTCTCCAAAAAAAAAAAAAAAAAAAAAAAAAATTACCAACAAACAGACAACCTATAAAATGGGAGAAAATATTTGCAAACTCTGAATCCAGCAAAGAACTAATCAGAATCTATAAGAAACTTAAACAAATAAACAAGAAAAAAAAACCATTTAAAAGTGGGCAAAGGACATGAACAGAGACTTCTCAAAAGAAAACATACAAGCAGCCAATGAACATATGAAAAAATGTACTACATCATTAATCATCAGAGAGATGAAAATCAAAATCACAATGACGGCATATCACACAAGTCAGAATGGATAATTATTAAATGATCAATAAATAACAGATGTTGGCAAGGTTGAGGAGAAAAGGAAACGCATATCCACTGTGGGTGGAAATGCGAATCAGTTCAGCTCCTATGAAAAGCACTT